TTAAATAAAAGAATCGTTCAAAAAGCTAAAAAGAATAAGCCTATTGTCAAACTCGACGATCTCGCGCACAACTTCACGTCGCATCTCATGCGCCAAATGTCATTGCCAGCAGAGTAATGGCGGACGACTGCTCGTATGAAGATAGTCTGTTATCGACGCACGTCCATCGTAATCCGTAAATTTTATCAACTTTCCCTACTACTTCCACTTGAGACGACGCGAGAAAAATCGCGTGTGTTGCGTGCAGAGAGCTCGAGTATTCGTGAAGAGCAGAGAGCGAAGAGAGAAACGGAATCAAGAAAATCCAGATGACGCCAGGCTAATGCGCAACTTCGGCGACGCGAGAGCGTGAAAATCAGTGAAAGTGTAAGAATAATCGGGAGCACGGACTCGATGCTTCCCACATCTCCGCATCGCGTCGATGTCGAGCGGATGAACGTGGTCCTATCCACGAATACATCGACCTCATCCGCGACACGTCGACGAACGGACGCGGAATGAGGCTGAAGCATGGAGAACAGGTGAGTGTCGCTTTCCCACAGTTGGCGCCTTGCGCAAATCAGGCACGGTTCTCCTCTCCCATTGACTCTCCTTATGTCACTTTGTATTCATATATTTTTCTTTTTTTTGCGGACGAGACTTGCCGTGAACGTAAGGAGATCAGATGAGAGAAATGGATTGAATAACGACTCCAAGTCTCGATTTATTTTCTGGATTTATTTTCTGTATCTTTCTCCTCCCTCCCCCCCCCCTTATTCTTTCTTCAATATCCTGTTGATGTGTAATTGAGGGATCTTTGTATTCTGGATCCCTTTCCATATTGGAACAGCTGTCTCTCTGTCAATTGATATACTCCTTCTGTGCTATGCATTTATCATGTGATTGCGTAAACAAGAAAAAAAAATACAAGCGAGAGATATATCAAATATATATTGTAGATATTTATATAGAAATTATTATATAGAAAGCAAAAGTTTGTTATCAGTTATGTTGTTTTATTATTTTTTAAAATGATATATAATTATATAGCTAAAGTGCAATGATTGAGAAAAGACTAAGGAAAATACATTTTTTAATCATAAGAAGTCACAAGAATAAAAAATACAAATAGAAATTCTACAAATTTCTAAAAATACAAATTGTACAAATTGTACAAATTTCTTTTGTGATCACCCTTCTATATCCGCTTTTACTCTAATAATGTGTCATTAATAATATAAAATATCATTAAGCAAGGAAATGTTAATATACCTGTATTAATCATTTTTTTACTGTACTTTTAGATCTATATTATATTATTTAAAAAATAATAAATAAAATTTTATTTTTTACATCATAATAATTTTTATATAAACATCTGTAATATTTGTAACATATTTAATAAATCTTTTGATATATAAGATATGAGCATCAAAGCATACATTTTTTATCATTTTATTCTCTATCTATATTTTGCTTCCAACATTTAGCACAAGATATCAGTTGTCTTGTTAATTTACTTTGTAAATATGTGATTTTGTTTTCAGAACATTGAGTATGATGATGTACAACTTTGAGATAGAAGATGAACTCGACCAGCGTCACCAATGATGATAATGTTTATGATGGATGATGAACAGTACGCATTGGAGGCTGATAAGACACGTCCATTCGAGATATATGATCAGTGGGGCTTGGAAACGATCCCAACAAGCAGAGGAGTTACATGTTAAAAGGAATACTCGAGGAATATTACATATGATTTGCATGTCGGCAAGAAATCATCATAAAGTAAATAGCGATTTATACATTTCTTAAATATAATTAAATGTTTACTACTGCAAATGTGGAAGATTTTCTGATTATGGTAGAAAATATTTTAAATTAAAAATTTGCCAATTATTAAGCATAGAAACTATTTTCATCAATAAAAACTTTTCTAGGTTGACAGATTTTTTTACAGTCAATTGAATGTTACTTAAAAATTTAATAATTACAAGAAAGAATAGGCCATATTTTTGAAGCAGATATATATTTTGAGTTACCTTTCTACTGCATCTTTATTCAATTTATTTCTTGAATTTTTGTAAAGACATGAAAGAAAATCATATAGCACATTCGCCGAGAGATGCAATTGAAAATAAACATTATTTTGCATCATTAGCGATGGATCTCTGAGTCCGCTTCAGTGACTCCCTGATGCACTTCTGGATCAACAAACCGGCAGGCAGGTACTACGGCTTCAGTGGCCGTCGATACCCTGCCACACCTGCGCCCAAATTACGCAGTAAGTGTGCTAAAATACAGCGAGTATAAATCTAATTATTAATGCATCAAGAAAAGATAGGATATACAAAATAAAAATACTGATATAAAATATAATTATTATGTATTACAATTCTATTTGTATCTTGCTTACATCTTGAAATATTTGAAGTATTTAATTATATTTCAAATTATAGAGAATCTTTATTATTATCATACAGGGAAAAAGTTAAAGATTTATTTCTTTATAATTCTGTAAAACTAACTGAAAAATAAGTAGATGAATAAAATGACTGAAAGAACTAAATAAATTAAGAGATAATTTTATTATCTGCTAAATGATATAGACGAGGACAATAATATTTTAAATACATCCGATGCATTTTATTTATTATGTTATTCTTATTTCCTTTATCTCATTTGCTTATTTGTCTTATTTTATTACTTTGCAGACCAATGTCGGACTGTCGGCGAATTTAGGCAAATGGTGACTCCCGTGCATCGATTTCAGGGCCTCACAGGTAACCTCGCAGCTGGAAACGCATCGTCAGCAGGACCTAGTAATGTCAATAATTCCTGTCGAAGCATCGTCACTCGATCGACGACGACGTCCGCGCGAATCCATAACAACGAGAACCGTCATCACGGTTCGTCGTCACTCAGCGCCGCCCAACTCGCCCAGCTAAACAACATCCCCAAGTAATTAATGAAAACACAAAAAGGTCTACACTAAGAGAAAGGAGACATTCTGAGAGGAACATGCTCTTCCTATATACAGGGTGACTCACTTAGACATATCTACCAGCAGAAAGATTACTTATAAATGATTCGCCCTCAGTTTGCAGTTTTGTGAGTTTAGTAAGAAGAAACATAGCGCTATGGTGGTATTAAATCGTCTCTGGTTTAACATATTGTTTACAGCAATGTCACCGACGCTAGCAACAATCAACTGATTCTGTCTAATACGACCGGAGCGAATAATACAGAACGGAACAGAAGCCTATTAACAGAGAGCGTCTTCGAATTACGAGAGGCCGAACTGGCTGGTTTCCGACTACGCTGTGGTGTCTGGTCCACCTTTGCTTTAGCAACAATCTTCGTGGCGGCCGCCAAATTCTATTTCGGTTATAGAGTAAGCTAAGAAAATTCCAAGATTAATTACATTTTAATGTAGAAAATCGAATAGAGTCGATTTGAAAAATAAGATTCGAAACGATAGCTAAATTTATAATACACTTTGTTTAATAAAAAGGTTACAATAAATAATAATAAAATCGGAAATAATTTTTACATAAAGAAATTATATATTATCTTACAAACTCTAAATTTTCATATGGTTTTGTACTTTTATTTTTTCATCTTGAGTTTTGTTACCTATTGATCAATTTTTTATATTAACAGGGGCCCGGCCTGGAGATTCTTGTGTTTTGCGGATTACTAATACTACTGCTCTCCGCTTGTTTGTATTCGATCTTCTGCCGATATCATCGCGAAAGTCATTATCACGGCGGTCGATCAGAGCATAACGCTCGTATGCAGGAAGATCATATTGTCGCCCTAACAAACGCATCGAGTATTGGCGAGAACGTCGTTAGTAGAACGACAATGTTGCCGGCGTCGACGATGATGCCGGCAACGACAGTGTTGCCGACGAGAACGATGTTAGCGGCGTCGACAATGAGGCAAAATCCGCCTCCACCGCCTTATCACATCGCTATCTTGATACCACCACCATCACCACCACCACTTGCATCCTCAGACGAAGCACCACCACCCTCTTATGACAAAGTCATGCGATGAAATCTTATGTCGACGTGGCATAAGAATCGAACTTGAGACTTATTAATTCTTCCTTCGATATTTTTGTGTCCCCTACATATTGCGGCACAAATCAATTCTCTAGTTTTAAGCAACGTTCACGTCTGTGATAAGAGCGCAATGATGATGACACATCGATAATACATCGGGGATTCAGTTTGGGGAAAGAAAAAAATTCACGCGGCGATATTTTTTAGTGGGCATTACGGAGGAGATCCGCGCTCCGCCAATGAATTTCCGTTTAGTGCGGGTAAACTGTATTCTAATCTTTTTATACTTTACTAAAAAACTGTGTGATATATTTAACTTAGGTTAGCTATAGCGCAGTGCGCTACTATAAACTTAATCGATCCATTCGTTTATTCTTCCAATTAGACAACCGCTATAATCGAATGCGCTCGATAAATATAATTCCAAGAATTCGCAGGAATCATTATGTTCGATTACTCGGTTGTTATAATCTTATTGAATGATATATGAAAATAACTGTCTTATTACATATACACACGAAAGCATTCGCAATATGCAAGAAAATAAACGCACGAATTCAAACGTAATTTGAGCCTGGATATCAAATTTGCAAAATGTGCATTTGGCTCGTTCGCCACTTACAATAAGCTGGTAAAAATAGGCGCGTTTGGCGTACAGATTCAATTATCAAATAAGTATAATGTTCACCAAACGCGCTCGTTATCCAATATCATATGTATGTACGATATAAATTACGTGCTTTACGACATACGAACACGCACATACAGCGTTTCATGATAGTTATATATAATACGGAGATGTTAGCAAACTATGAATTGTGCAAAATACACGATTTTTTATTTTTTATTTTTTTTGCGTGAATGTACGCATGGGAGAATAATAGAAAGAAAATGTGTGTGCATATATGTATGATCGTTTATATCATAATTCTGTATTTAAGGACAGTTACATATAATACATACTGATGCGAGATCCCATTTTGAATGTTCTTCGTAACTGTAAGTCGCAAATGTACTGCGATGTACAAAACTTATCGTCCTTTCTAACTGCACTTACAAACAATCTCGTTTTTTACATTGAACTTTAATCTCGTTTTTATTTAAAAGATAAAGCAAAATTCAATTTCTCTTTTTCCAAAATTTACGATAAAGAAGTCTATCTGAAATTATCTATTTCTTTTTGTCTATTTCTTCCTCTTCTATCTGACAATAATTTATCGATTTATTTGAAAAATATCGCGAAAGAAGAAACAGAAAATAATGAAATGGAATTAGAGAATTTGAATTTTGCTTTTACTTCGCTGGGTTTTTTTTTCCTTAAGGCCTGAGTATACATTTATTTTATTTCATAGAAAGTCTAAGGGAGAGTGCAGCTAAGAAGAACAGAAAGACCTAAGGTCTATTTTTTCTACATTACGTCATAGTTTAAGAAAGTTGCAGTCGATTCATCGCGCGCGATGTTTTATTCCTAAAAAGCATCTATCGGTCCGTTTTTATTTATGTTCTTAAAAATGAATTTGCATTTGCAAAACGAAATGAGAAAAGGCCACGTGGTGTTGCGATGAATGTAATAAAAGCGGACTCAAAAATTCTTATGGTACAGATTCAGTACCTTTCGCGAAAGTGCGGTTTCCAAGTATAAACAAGTGTATTTAAGTGTTATTTCAGTTTACGACACACGCGAAATATATAACAGTTAGATGCAAAAGCAGATAAAATTATTCTTCTGAAAAGGAGCTATATACCGCAAAAAGTGAATTCTCTATCTCTGATAACAATAATCGTTCTACGATATCGTCGATCTTAATAAAACAATTATAGAATATTTTTTTCTCAAGAATAATATGTCTAATTGTTTTTCTATTTAAAAAGAATCAATAATATATACAAATCATAGAACTATGTTGTTAAAATATATGATCTCTGACAGTAAAATTGTACATAAATATAAAAATACAAAGAAGTATATAAATAAACTTTAAAATATAGTTTTTTTATTTATAGAAGATTCTTATCATCTATTAAATTGATTTGGTTTAATAGATTTTTCCTTAAGATCGACGATATATATGTTTTTCTCATTTACATGACATGACAGTACATATATTACTATGATACAAACAAGATTACAGTCTTCAGCAAAGATATAATAATAATGATACATTGATATCGATTGCAAATGTTCATGATCTTGTGTACACAGTACTTGTATGTTTGTTACACTAAGATGAAAGTACTTTGGAATCTCTTCGTGTAAAAAGTAATCATCGGAAATGAAACGCATAGGCTCAATGCGTTCGTCGCTCTTTCGTCTCGTTATATTCCCATAAACATTAGTCAAAATTAACCATTTAATTGATTCTTGCTTCTCTCTCTTTATTAAAAATTTATTTTCTCAGTGAAACTATTCAAATTTAAAAGAATCAATCTTGATGGATTTTTCTAATTATGCTAAAAGAGAAGAGGAATCAATTAAATTTCAGGTAACTAAAGAATTCTATTAATTATTTAAAACAAATTTGTATAAGATCTCGGAGAAATCCGAGAATTATTTTAGAGTCCTTTATAATTATACACGTTTACTTGAATATAGTTATTTTCAAATTTATTTTAAAATTGAAGAAACTAAGTTTATCTTCTCGAACTCTTGTAAAAGTAAATCGTGCTGAATCCTTCAATTTTAATTAATACTCATAGGAACAACGCTTGTATGGTACACAATAACGAATTCGACGAAACTCATCTCCTTGCGCACTGCCAATAAAACAGTATTTCAAGTGCGAGCGATAACGAACCTTTTAGTGATTATTATCTAAACCCTTTGGATCTCGAACAGCTTGACGTCTGTATCGTACCATATGGGCGGTTCGACATTTCTCAGATATATGACACCCCACATATACGTGCGAAACCATGCGGTTGTGCCAGCATTAGCCTGATACCGCCTGATGAGAATAGGATGCGGCACTGGTAGCAATCCGACAAGAGTGCCATGTTGCAGAAACTTCAAAATCTCACTCTCGTCTGTCAAACCCCTGTTAAAATCAATAAAACAACATATAAATGTAAAAACGATAACAAGTGTTGATATTTATATTCTAATGAGAATTTTAAACAGAAAGCACTCAAATTTTAAACAGACAAGCTATGCTTTTTATTTATAAATTTAAACGCGCGCTCACTTGTCGATGCAGATCTTCTCGACTTGTGGAACTAGAACTTGAAGCAATCGCATAATGGTCTGTAATGGGAGCTTGCTCTTCCATTGGTATACCCACTCACTGGACGGTACCCATTGATTAACGTTATTGACATTATTGGTGCTCGCTTGCTCGGCCACGCGAATACCGCCCTTCTGTGTATGAAATGAATTTCGAATGTCATCATCAATCAGATTTATTAATCAGATTTTCGTATCAATGCCAATGGATTCTGGATTTCTTTCGGAAATGAATAATTTTTTCTCTTACCGGAACCACGGAATTCTTGGTCGCGTTCAGTGATTCCTCTGTTATATCCGTCTTGCTCTCTGATCGATTACTGATTGATTTACCAATATCAACACTAGCTGATGGACTCAGCGGATGCGCCGATTCTTTTTCCGTCATTTTCTCGATACCTTCAATGCGACAAACTTATATAAATATTATAAGAAAATAAAAATAGGAGGCATAATAGATACAAGATTTTACACAAAAAATTAATAGAGAATTTTATGCTTAAATTCAATTTAAATTTTCTATTTGCTTAACTTTTTATATGATCTGATTTTGTTAAAAATTTTTTCGTATTAAATTTTTACTTTCGCGTAATTTATAGGATTTACAAGTTTTACATTATAACAATATGAAAAATAATATGCATTTCACATTCTAAATAAAATATTAAAATACATATATAAAGATATTATAATTATATTATTTTTAAATTTGGATATCTATCTAATATTGCACTCTAGTTTAAATAGAGTTTATAAATTTAGCTTTGTCAGCTCATATAAAAGAGACTCACCAGGAGTCTCCAACAAAGACGCCTTTAAAGTACCAGGTTCGGCAGGTTGCGCAGGATGCGATCCTTCCATTGCTGTCTCGCTGACATTCTCCTGAGACGTACTCGCAGGCATGTGACGACGCTGCCTCTTACTAAGGGATTTTGCAATTGTATTGCAATCACTAGGCAGATTTGCGAGCGCGTGAAACACTTGTCGTTTGCGTATTATGGTGTAGACTAAATTACTGTTTCCATCGAATTGATACTGAAATCCGAAAACAACATGATATAAATGACAGATATAATTTTTATATTATGAAAAAACTTAGTACATACATTCTTCAATTATTTTATATAATAAAAATAAGTAACTAAAATATTCAAAATATAATTTTTGTTCAATGAATATTTGAGGCTTCCAAAAATATTTTTATTTCTGACAGAATTTTAAAATTAAACAAACATATTGATAAAAATAACTAAGCAATAATAAATAATAATAAATAAGCAATATTAATAAAAAAAAAATTTGTTTTTTAAATTTTACAAACAATAATGCAATATAAATTTTGAAACTAGTATATATACAAATGGGAAAATAGATTATTTAAATGTATATTTTGCGCATTACTTGAATAATATTGTTAAAGATTTCGAGCAAAAAGAACACCAAATGGTGATTGGTGGGCGCCGAGAAAAGGAACCACGGCGTACTAAATGCCTCCAACAAATGTAGCAGTTTTGTGCTAGCCACCATGGATAGTGTTTTAAGATATGGCGAAACATTGACTAGAATTGTTAATAGACAATCGAATAATGGTTGTAGTCTTTGATGACCAGTCGTGATTATTTTATGGAATACAGTGACTAAAAGATCGGCATGTGTTCCTAAAACAAAATAATTTGCATTTAGCAAATAATTAATTAAAATGCACTAAAATATAATTAGGAATTGCATAAAAATTTTACAAAACATTTAAAATATAAAATTTTACAAAACATTTAAAAATATATTCTTAATGATATTCTTATTCTATGTTCTGACTACAGAGAATATTAAGAAAAATTTAATTTAAGAATAAAGAAACTAAATTCAATTGAAAATTAAAAATTATTATATATATTTTAATTGATTTTGTATTTCAAGATAAAATCAAGTCATCATTATAATATCATTATAATAAATGACTATATTGACATTATTGTAATTCCAAAATACTATTACTTTTTTCAAATTAAAACAATCAAAATTAATGTCATACCTGTAAAAACAGGAATATCCATAGGCACTGTAGCTGTATATGGCTTATTCAATCTTACTCCGAAATTACGTTCTCCGCTTAAGAGAAGTAAAATAAATACCCCGATGTGCATCAAACCAACTCGTGCTGAAAAATTAAGAAGTAAACAAATAAATAATTAGCTAGTTAATCAAACTTCAGTTAATCAAAAACATTAATTTATAATATATCGCTGTTCTAATTCTGAGATTATGTATATAAATATCTTGAAAAATATCTCAAAAAATTTTTTCTCTAAGAAATCAATTATATAAAAATATATATATTAATATATATATTTTATTTCTATAGTTATTTAAAATGTGGCAAAAAAGCAACCAAAATTAATATTATTCCTTTACTCTGCTTATATTCTACTTCTCCGATAAATCAATCTTGAATATCTTAATATTATATTAAAACAATTTGATATAAAAGATTAATACAAAACCTGAGAATGAAAACTTACATTGATCAGCACGTGAGTCATTTAAATGATAAAGAATCGGTACGAGAACTTCAAGAACATCTGAGCTTTTTAGCACATAATATAAAAATTTCTTGTTGTAATCACACATTTTCCAGAAGAAGACTAACAGCTCTTGATGAAAATGCACTTTTTTAGTTGAGTTTGGCAAATACGTTTGCATCAGCGGATTGTTCAATAATCTGGTAATGCCTTTCAAGACAAATTGGAAATCTATGGAACAATAAATTTTAATCTTTTTCTATACAATTTTCTTTATATTCTTTATATTCTTTATATTCTTTATATTCATATTTTATCTTTTCATATTTATATGCTTTATATTCATTTCTCATTTAAAAGTTCATATATTTAATTAAAATTTATATTGTA